CACACAGGTAGCACATAAGCACATAAACTAAGGCGGAGAATGTCAGTTTTCGAGAAAATAGGCTGAACAGTTTAGGCACTAGTGTTGACCACAGGCAGACGGACGGGCCTCTGATAGACAGACCGTTTGACATTTTGCCGTAAATGTTTCGGATTGAAGGAGCCACAACGTATCAGATGAAGTAATTTTCTGCACGCAGGAACCAGATTTATCCACGTTTTCGTTATCAGGGCCTGACGATAAGAGTCTTTTCTGTCGTAATAAGCCAATTTACGGTGCACGATTTGAATAATTTTTCTTATTACGAAGTAGGGTGATAACCTTTTTATCATGATAAATCAAATTAACCCATCTAAATAAATAACGGTAATATATTTTTTTCGTTGTCATAATTATTGATATTAATATTCCCTGAAGATGTAACGTAATGAGCTCTGCGCATCGGCATTTCGTTTAATTCCAGCCGAAGCTCAAACATGTCATATACATTTAATAAAAAGATAAAAATATTTCGAATTAACGCGATACTTGTTGGAAACACTCACAGCAGCACAAGAAATATCAAATGTTGCTGCCAGTTAATTAAAAGATATTTTTATCACGGACTCACAAAATGTAGTTTGCATATCCACTTTTGATTACGTGAAAAAATTTTCAATTTGATGTGAAAATAAACAAATTTGTATTATGAAAATATCATGTTATGTAAATGATGTTTATGATAATTTTACTAGGTTTCTTAAATAAGTTGGATTAATGAAATGAATTCACATCGAGCGTATACTGACAGACACGTATTATTTAGAATAATATATATTGAGAATACTATCGAATTTTCAAGAATATGTAAGTAAATACGATGAGAAATTATTTATCCAAATTGTAGAAAATAAAATAATTCTGATATCTTGGAATATAATTTAATTATTTTTTTTCCATATTACAAATAATCTGAAGTTTATGTTCTCTTCATACTTAATATACAATGTGGGCAATACTACAAATGTGTTATGGTTTTTTGGTCGTTCAATCAAAATTTTTCTAAGTGTGCCAACGTTTCCGAACTTTATTGTTCTCTAATCAGAGCAGTGGGAAACATCTTTACACAGTAACTTCATCCACGTTGGATATATTACTTAAAGAGTAAATAACACATACATACTTATAAACTAAGATGATAAGCATAAAACAATAAACTTACTTATCAATTGCAATTTAAAAAAGTTATGCATATGTATTGTCATTAAAACTCACCTTGCTGAGGTTCAATATTTAAGATCACAATACCAATTATCCAAAACATGGCATCAGGACCACCTGCAAAAAAAAAACAATCTCTAGCATCATTTTAGAAATGTACTGTTATGAATGATAATATTATAATATACTGATAATACTAGTAATAACTGCATTGCAAAAATTGAGCCAGAGTGGAGATGTTTTTTTGTGAAGATGGCTCTGATGATTGCCATGCCTTGCATGATTGGCATTTTGCTCTTAAATATTCAACCTTAGTAAGGGACGTTTTGATGTCATAATATGCATAATATATTGTATTTTTTACTAATGTTAATAAGTAAGTATTGTTTTACATTTAGTGTCTTAGTTTATCATATGTTAGTGTTATTTACTCCAACTATGTAATATATTAATTGGATTGTTGGTGAAGTAGATACTTTTTTTTATTTTGATAAATAAATAGAGATATTGTCAGGTATCAATATTGATACCTGACAATATCTCTATTTATTTATCAAAATATGTAATATATCCAACTTAGATGAAGTAACAGTGTAAATATGTGTCGCACAGCCCTGATGAGCGAACAATAAAGTTCAGAAACTTGAGAAACTTTTTATTGAATGACCAAAAAGCCATGAAACATTCCTAGTGCTAATAATGTGGTCGTGAATTAAATAGGTAAAGTGGCTAATTAACCTATAATTCAGCATGAAGCTATAAAGCACCACAACAGCATCGAATTCACACTGGCGATTCAAGATCAGGTCAACATAACATTGTAAACAAACCCAACACATTTACGCACACGAGGGGTACTCATCGGGATTCATCCTTTTCAGAAGCGAATGACTTGTGGATTCTTTAACCCACAATCGGCCTAAAATTTCCCGGACTCATTCGCATTTTGCCACACTTTCAACAAAAATGTGGAAAGATCGTTAAAAATATTTTTCAAATACACCATCAACAAATATAAAGAGATTTTGGGAGATTAAAGTAAGTATTATCAATTTCCATTCCAAGTATTTTGCACGTAGGAAATTTACAACTTCCAAAATTATATTAATTTTAGCTATGCACTAAAATGTAGATTCAATAAAACGAAAGAAAACGGTATTGCGTGACAGCTACCAAAAGAAATAGAACTAGCCAAAGTTTAAAAGAAGTACATGTTGGAATATGTTTTGAAAGCAAGTTAAAGAATTGAAACTGGTCACATGTAAGCTTTAAAAATCAAAATTTTTCTTTAATTCACCGTTTAGATTCCATGTCGTGGTGCGTTAGTAAGGAATTCACATTCGTGAACATCAAAATTGTAACAAAATTTAATGTAATATTACAAGTAGAGTGTCAGGAGGGAAGGATTGGAAGTTATTAGTTCTACTTTAACCTCTTTAAAATTGTGAGATAGAAAATGTAAGAAACAATGGTTTGAAGAAAAATTATATTTTTACCTTCTTTTAAAATTGTATACAAACATTGCCATTTTTTATATTTCATCTATAAAATAAATATATATATATATATATATATATATATATATATATATATATATATATATTTGAACGTTTGGAGGGTTTCCATTTCAAAGCTGGTTTCATTGACACGTTTACGATATTTGAATTCACGGTGCAGATGATCTGTACACTGAGGGAACAATTAATTAATAACTATTTAAGCAACGCTAGCTCAATAAACACCTAATAAATATTTCCCCGTGATTGATACGAATTTTGAGAGCATAGAATAGTTATAAGGAAAATATGAATTACTCCACAAATTTCGAGCTGATGAGCACTGCAACGACGAAAGTTTTAATTGTTACAAAAGTCAAGTACTTATTACAGAATCAACAATTGTCCAATTCACTCTTACCCACTACAATCGAAAACAAGAAAACTGACCCAGACATCTGTCAAAAATTTGGACGAATCCTATCTACTAAACACATTGTCCTACGACATTGAAAAGTTCAAAATATATGAGATAATCATCACTGTCATCGGGCATTTCACGATTACTTGAATTTAGTTTATGCACTTACCCTGTTGGCAGGGATCGGGTCTCGACTTGATATGGGAAACTTTTGGCATTAAAAACAATCTTCATTTTCTAAAAATTTTAATTAACTTGAAGGCTTAAATTAATGATTAAATATTAAAAAGTACTGATTTTGAAAAATTAATTTTAAAAAGTTAATGAAAAATATTGTAATTCATTATTTTTTGTTTGTTGTATTTACTGTGTGTTAAATCAATGTTTAAATGCTACTAATACTTAAAATAATTATATCCACTAATAGCCTTAGCTGTTTATAAAGGTACTTAAAATGAAAAGAAGTCATTATAAATTGAATAAGATATAAATAAAGATAAGTCAACAAATAAAAATAATTTGAAAATCATAAAAATGAAAAGTGCGTTATGAGAAAAAACCAAGTCGGCTAAACACTACACTGACATAGCTACCTAAAAAAACGTGTTTGCGACAAATATACTTAGACAATAATGGGTATCGAAGTGACAAAATAATGTTAATTTATATATATTTACAATCAATGTTTTTTAAAAGCAAAATATTACAAAAGTTTTCATTGAATAATCTACTACCTAGTGAATATTGACTGACAATTTTAAATATATGTAAGGGATCTGTAGAAAAGACAGCACATACTTATCTACACACGAAACGCGTCAACAATGAACGATAATTACATCGCTAGCAAGTAAATTTTGTAACTCTGTGTACCACCAAAAACTAAGAGAATAATGCATCAGACTCGCTTCTACCTTCACTCTGCAATTCCGTCTTTGCCGTGCCTACGTTACACAAAGCGGCGGAATCCTCCAGTCGCCCGCCGGACCGCAGAGAGGGCCCGGGAGCGGGGCGTGGGGATCGCCCCTCCCTGGAAATCGCTGAAGGTAAAGCCGGTGGCGACCGCGTGGGCGCCCGCGCCCCCACCCCAACACCCGGCCTTTGCGCTTCCTCCTCTTCCGTTGCGGTCTCTCAACTTGCCCCTCTCTACTCCATGTATGTCATTCTATTTTGTCTTGCTTCTTATCGTCCCGGCCCAACCCGTCTCAACGCATCCCAACACGTGTCAACTACTCTCGACCATTCCCGAACGTGTCCAACCCCTTTATGAGCAGTCATGATGACTTACAATACGTTCCGATCCCTCCCGATCCGACTCGGCCTGTCTCCGACCCAACGCCTCTCGGCTCGACCTAACCCGTCTCGACCTGACCCGACCCGACCCAATCCTGTCCGTGTCGACCAGATCCGACCCAATCCGACCCGTCTCGACCCGATCCGACCCATCTCCACCCGAGGAGTTACGTCCCGATCCATCTCAATTCGATCCATCTCGACCCGACCCATTTCGACCCGACTCGCGACTCATCTCGACTCGGCCCGATCCATCTCGGCACTACTCGATCTTACCCGTTCCAAACATTTCGGTTAGCATATCAATCGTATATTTATAACTCAACCCATTACACACTACCTCCAAGATGCTCCTTCTCGCTCTTCGCCAACGAAGCAAAACCCCTCGCTATCGCTCCATTGCCAAGCCGTGGAATTTTGGAAATTGATTAGTACCATTAATATTAGGAGCTCCTGATATAACATTTCCTCGAATAAATAATATAAGATTTTGACTTTTACCTCCATCATTAACCCTTTTATTAACCAGAAGAATAGTGAAAATGGTGCAGAGACAGTGATGAACAAGTTTATCCACCTCTGATCAACAGGAATTGCTCATGCAGGAGCATCCGTTGACTTAGCAAATCTTTCGATTACATTTAGCGGAAATATCTTCAATCTTCTAGGAGCTGTAAATTATTACCACGTATAATTAAATACGAGCCCAGCAGGAATATCACTAGATCAAACACCTTATTTTTTGAGCCAGTTTGAATTACAGCCTTTTGATCATTTCATTACCATCCTAGCCGGGCGTGCTTTACCATATTATTAACAGACCGAAATCTAAATTACATCTTTTTTGATCCCGCAGGAGGAGGAGATCCAATTTTATATCAACATTTATTTTGATTTTTTGGACATCCTGAAGTTTATATTCTCCTTTATCCTTTATATTCTCCCACCTGTCCCTTTCCCCTACCCCCAAACCAGCCTCCTATTTTCTTTTTGCGTTGCCTCTCTCGTACCGTCTCAGCCGCGCCCCGCCCACTTCTTTGCTTTGCTGTGGACGCTTCCTGCAAACCACAATGCACTCGCGCGCCTGAGGCCCGATTGGGGCTCCAGCTCAGCTTCAGAGGGCAGGGGCTTTATTCGTTGAATCTGGAAAATATTCTTCTCCCTCGGCGAAACGCCCCCTCCCAATTCCACCTAAAGTTTTTTACCTGTCCCTGAGAGTTTATCGACCGAAGACTTTCTTTTCGCGCAAGTGCACCGACTCTAGAATAAGAAGCAACCATATTACAATATTTTAGCATTCATTAGTTCAATTTTCACGCTAATATTGGCTCACAACATAGAAATCGTCTATGTGCTATTACTGCTACAACGACACATGCTTTGCAATATTTATGATCTTCTACGACACAATATTTATGATCTGCAATTTTGGGAAATTTCGAGTGTTTACTGAAAATGAGACTTGCGTACACATTTAAGCGTCCTTTACTGTATTCGAAAAACATACAGAACACATTTGGAGCCGTTGACGAGAAACAATATAACTTGTCTTTACTTCAATGAATTTTTCTTCACGTAACTGCGGTCCACAACCTACACATTTATTAAAAAATATACCTGACCTTCTTTAAAGAACTGCGTATGACTAGCAGAAAAAATTGTAATCTATACCGTACGTATCTTATAATAATTTTTAACGTTAATTTTTTGCAATTTTTGAGGAATACAAGGATTTTACCGATAATAGAACCCACGTCATTTTTATACTCGATATTTACTCTATCCGACAAAAAATAATCCAAACCTTTGAAGCAATTTTTGAAAAAAATGGAAAATGACTGAAACCTTATGTAAGCATCTCTCTTATTTTCATGTGTTTTTCAGTTAATGTATTCTGCACATTTGATTTGTTATGTAACGTGATTGCAACGACTCGAATTTGAGCACCAAAATACTCATAATTATAACAATCAGTTTTGAATTTCTTAATATTTCTTAATTTTCCTACAACAAATTAGGTAACCCAATTTTATTCTTCAGTATATGACATGCGTAAGTTAGCGTAGTCCTTTTAAGGCTTGGAACTGTCATTTTCTGAACTATTTTTTGTGGCTCTCTTAAAGACTTGCAAATTACAAAGTAGGTGTTTCTGAACGTGATTGCCAAGAACGTGATGACCAATTTAAAATATTTTGTTGCAGAATAAAGAGCCCAGAAAGTTATTCTACAAATACAAAAATCATTATTTGTATTTTTAATAACAAAGTAACACGTATTTGTAAAAACATATTTTTCGGCTTGTTTATTGAAGGCATAAAGAACAAAAATAAAATTTAGGAATGTGTGGCTCACAGATTCAACGCATTTAGCTTTTTTATCTGTTGTTTAAAAATTATATGAATATCTTAATTTCTACTAAATGAGAAAACACATAGATTTTAAATTTTTTATGAAATAGAACAATTGTGTTCTTTCAGTTACTGAAGAATTCTAAACTATTATGTTTATAAAAGCCATTTTTAGCGTTTTCAGTAAGACATTGTCTTGAAGAAAAGGACAGAATCGTGGCTGTTAAGGAGGATTGGTCTTAAAGGTGGTAGTGGGTACAAGATGGAGCAGGAAGAACCGCAAGCAGACCATAGCACTTTGCATAAATTTCTTCTTCAGTTAATTTGTTGATTGAATGATTAATTAATTTTTACGGACTCAACTGCTATATGTTCATTAGTTCCGTTAGTGTAATTAATGTTTTTAATCCTTGCGTTGGCGGTGTTTTCGCTCGCTCTGTAGTCGACATTATCAAATACGACAAAGCCCCACAAACATCAATAACTGGTTGCAATGCAAACACGACAATCGTTGTCAACAAGGAATTCTACTGAAGTGTTGACATGAACGTTACCACCTTCTAACAAAGAAAAAATTGACTACCGAATACTTATTAAATGAATAATAAATTATTCCGAGAACGTTTTGAAGTAATAGTATCACCAATACATTAAAGAAATGGGTAAAAGAAATGGTTACGAATTTCTGAATTTCCGTTCAATTTTAGAATAAATAATCTTTAACCTATTGCAAGTACTTCTCTTATACGAGTAATCCAATTGAGATTGTGTGCTACTAAGTTTATATCTCGAAGGAAACACTGATTTAAAATTATGAAAGTCAACTTGAACTGCCTTCTTTTGCGTGAGACACACGTGAATAGTTGTCTTCAAATGTTTGTTCTTGTGTTGATTGGTGAAGCGGATAGGCAACACGTAACGCACAACTGTAGAGCATTTTGCATTTTAGTAAGAAATGCTGCAGAAAATCCAGAGAAAGATTTTCCAATGCATGTTCTTTGTACTAAAAGTAAATTGCCCGTGATTCGTTTACAATTGAGATTCTTGTGAGTTTACCTCTGAACCGTAGTAAAATCGTCCAATTGATGCTCGCTCGAGAATAATAAAAATGTAGAAGTTAAAAGGACGCAGTGGAATCCATTCGTTAGCGGATGTTACTGATAATAGTGCTGATTGTACGCAATGCTGTGTGGATTGAAATATTGGCAAACAAAGCAGAAATGACATCTATAATTTCACAGCTGCATATTTTGCAGGTCGATCAAGTTATTGCAGTTTTCATATTACTAATTTTTGCTGCCATTTAAACTCCACCCATGCAATTCAATTACTTTATTTTCTATCAATATATAATATAAAAATGTCATATTTTAGCATGCATTTAGAATGAATTTATACTATATTATTGTAAATTCGTTAGCTCTTAGTTATCCATGTTAATGTATACCACATTTTATTTTGAACGAAATGTTTAGTGGTAATTTGCGTTTAAATTATATACAAAATATATTTATATCAAAAACAGTTTGATAACCTATTTAACGGGCATATCACATATGATAACAATAAAATAGTTTATTTTATAATAGTTTATATTATACTAAAGTAGAAAAAACAATAACAATGAATTAATCTTCCAGTGCGAATCCTAATATATATTGTGTATATACATGCAATTTCTTTTCAATTACAGACCCTAGAGTCATTCCAAGGTAATGCGCACGTAAAAATCATTTTTTTTAAATAATGAGCGCAGCAGACACGACAATATAATCGGAGCGAAAACTGCTCCAGCAATTGTTAACGTCAATTAAAATGTAACTGGAAGAAAATTGCTTCAATCAAGGCGAAACCACTCCGCAGGAACGAATCAATCGAATCCTGGATTACAGCGTTCCAATAAGCCGGCGACGTCCGTGGCGTAGGCGGACGTAGGCGGGCGCCGGAGGCGGCGGCCCAGGCGCACCTCCCTTCAAGCGGAGGCGGCTGCACTCCCTTCGTACGCCAAGCTGCATGCAGTGGCGGGCGGCAGATGCCTGGCGGAGGAGCAGAGGGGAGAGGGCAGAGGGGAGCGGGCAAAGGGTGCGGGCAGAGGGTTCGGGGCAGAGGGGAGCGGCGGCAAAACGGGGCAGCAGAGGTGAGCGGGGTCAGAGGAGCGGGGCAGAGGGAGCGGGCAAGGGTGAGCGGCGCAGAGGGGAGCGGGGCAAGGAAGCGGGGTAGAAAGGACGGTTTCGAATGAGCAGGCCGGGGGCCAGGAAACGGGGCAGCGTATTTCGAGCGGGCGGAGAGGAAGGCGAGGGGTGCAGAGTGAGCGGGGGGTGGGCGGCATAGTGCTGTCGCATCGTGGCGCTGAAGACGGGGCGCCACGCGGATTGAGGGAGACCTGGTAGCCCCGGGAAGAGTGGACCTGATGGCGCCTTGCCGTAGGTCTCAACAGCAGCTGACTGCGGACCCCGGCCAGAAGGGGTGCGGAGTTGTGCGTACAGCGGGCAGCGAGAAGCGGCAGCGGGGATAACAGAACGGGAATCGGCAAAAATGGAGCGAGCAGCAGAAATTATCAGGCATGACAGGGCTGCCAGTAGCGCGGCAAGAGGAGCGGGCTGCGGTAAGCGGGAATGGTTAACGGGCCAACGGGTAGTTGGCCAACGGTTTAAGGACAAACGGGGTAGGGGCGGCGGGAAGAAGGCAACGGGTAGCGGGCAACGGTTAGCACACAAATGGTAGCTGGATACGGGTAGCGGGAAAACGGGTAGTGGGCAACGGGAAGAGAGCAACGGAGAGTGTTTTTCGGAGAGCGGCGGAATGGAGCGAGCAGCGGATAGCGGGGATGGGTTTGCGAGCAGCGAGAAGCGGGGACCGAGAACGGAGAGCGGCGAGTCCTGGCCGGCTTGCGAGGAGAGCAGCGGGAATCTGTGAGTGGGAAGAGGGAAGATGAGAGTCGCGAGCGACGAGCGTGACGCCGAATCAGCAAGCGCGGACCGGCGCGGCCGCTGCTCTGACGTCATCGCCGCAGTGACCGCTTCTAACCGCTTCCAACCACCGGTTTCCCGGCGTTCGCCGCCACCGTCGCGCCGGCTGCCGACCGCTTGGCTGGTCTCCCCCCATCCCACTAACCCACTCCTGCCCGCCCGCGCCGCGCGCGCTCACTTTCACGCCTGTTTACGCCAGTGGCTGGCGCCGCTACGCGCTCAGTCGCCTTGCCCTCACGTCTCTCGTCTAGCGTCGCTTACTTTCCTGCCCTCACCCCTCCCCCCACCGACACGGCTCCTGCGCTGCAGCGCTGCCCCTCCCGCTGTGTCGCAGGCGCCCGCCCACGCTCCGCCTCGTTTGCACAGACTGCAATCAGCGAATCCATCTTGCGCGCTGCTGTTACAACGCTTCGTGCGAATATCTACACAGAGGTATTACACCGGCTTCACTGTCACCTGCGGTGTTGTTTCTGCAGGCGAGGGGTGCCACACTACCTCTTTTATGATTGTTGATATTTCTAACGTTGTGTCCATTGCTACATCTCTCCAGCTGTAATTAACGCGGTCTCTCGGCCATCTTTGTTTTAACTACTCGTAGTTTTCTCCTAAAAATGACATTGCAATCTTCAACTCTACGCCTGACTTGTATCATTGTCACTTGAAACTCTAAAGCCATTTCTCTAGTAATCCCTTTCTTCACAGGTTCTAAAATAGCCATTTGGACGGTATCTTTTCCATTACTTAAGTATGCTATGGTATCAGATCCCGAGTCGTATGGTCATAATTACAAATTACTAAATTATTTTAATGAGATTATAAAAA